AAGTCAGCACTCCCTCAGGGACGGTTGCCGGACTATTTGGTGCCATGGCCGAAGGGGTGCAAGGTGCCGAAGCAATGGAAGATATTCCGGAGCAAGAGGGGGATCCCGGGTCGTCTGTGGACCCTGGGGCAACGCTGGAAGGTCCGGTCGTTCGTCCGAAGGAGAGGGGTATTCCGCCCATGCTGGGTGTGGATCCTGGGCTGAAGCAGCAGCCGGCATTAACGGAGACTGTGGACTGGGGGTTAAGTTCTACACTTCAGCGTGTGGAAACTGAAGGGCGGTTTGTAACGACGGACAAAGGTCTTGCTGAAGGATGGAGGGAGAGGAGAGCGGTTAGCGGCGAAGAGGGTGATTGGAGCTACTCCACAACCCCGGGGCAGTATACCCTTGACGTGTTAAAGGCTAGGTTTGGAGAACCAGGATTCCTACCAAGACAGGGAGCAATCCCACGCCGTCCCACTGACTCACCTGGATTCCGTTTGGCTAGTCCACTATTGAGGGGGCCAGCAGTACAGTTGGACCGTGGGGGGCACGGAGCTGCAAGGTTAGGAACCATGGCTGCTACTCAGGGCACTCCAGCCTTCTTGCCTTTGGGACCCGGGGATCTTGGCCAGCGCACTAACATCGCAGACGGGCAGCATGGAGGCCAACCTGTAGCGTGGCCCACAGGGATACCATGGACCCCTCCACCGATTGGAATTACTTTTGATGGAGATCCGGACAAGTTGGCTATGTTTTTGGGACATGTGCTAAATCATCTAGATCGTTTCGCAGCCCATTATTCCTCCCAATGGGCGATAGTGGTGGCGGTAACGGCCAGTTTACAAGGCGAAGCAGCTTCCTGGGCGGCTGATCTCTTTGGGGACCATGCTAGTGAATTGGCCGACATAGGTTCCTTTTTGGATGCCTTGAGGATTAGGTTCGAAGACTCCACCAGAGCTCAGAGAGCGGAAGCTGAAATAGTGACACTGAGGCAGGGAGGGAGACCGGTGAGGGAATTCATTAAAGAATTTCAGCGGGTGGCGGGTCGGTTGCGGTCCTGGCCAGAGAAATTACTGGTACATTATTTCAGGCAGGGCTTGGATGTAGAACTCCGCCAGGCTTGTTTGGTAAGAGGAGTGCCCTCCCGTTTACCTGAATGGTATAAGACTGTAACCGAACTCCATGCAGGACTACAAGAATTGGCGCCAAGAGCATCCGCCCTACTTCCGGCATCCGTTCCGCAAGCGGCAAATAAACCAAGGGCGTTAGGCGTACCAGTTCAAACAGTTCCACCTGGGGTGTCCAGGGGGACTTTCCGATGTTATAGGTGTAACAAACCGGGTCACAGGGTGGCTCAGTGCCCGATCCCACCTAGACAGGGTTTGAGTTCGGGACAGTCCACCCTGGAGACAAGAAGACAAACCATCACCCCGTTCCGAGGGAAGGATCAGACAAAGGCGGTACAAGATGAAAGTAGCATCCCATATAGGTCTACACCGGTAGTGCCGGGTGCCACATCGGAGGTAGTGCCTGAGACGTATGGCCAGGATGACCCGGAACAAGACCCCATGGTATGTACGCCGGTGGTACCGTTTAATATATCGATACGTCTGACGAATTGTAGATCGGGACAATATAAAAACTGTAAGGCTTTAATAGATTCGGGTTGTACTCGATGTTTGATTAGTCGGAAATTAGCAAATATGTTGGAGCTTAGATTGGTCAACCTATCTCGACCTATTAATTTTGAACAAGTGGATGGTTCTTTATTAGGGGGGGCGCCGGTATGTCAGGTAACCGAGCCGGTCCGATTGGAGATGGGGGAGCATTGGGAGTTGCTCCGTTTCATTGTAATTCCCTCAATGACTGAGGAAGTGATTTTAGGGCTGGCCTGGCTTGACAAATGGCAGCCGGTGATTTGGTGGGCAGATGGGTATCGTCGTATGAGGTTGGTAACAGGTCCCCGGGCTCCAGGTAATGGCAAAAAGAAGCCACAGAAACAATCACCCCTTAGGGAAACACAACACATGGAAAGAAGTAAGGTAGCAGTGGAAGCTACCGGGACGGCACGGCTATTCCCTGTGGAGTATGACGATCTAAAGGAGGTATTCAGCGAACGGGAGTGTGATACGTTGCCACCACACCGTTCCACGGACTGTGCAATAGACATCATACCGGGGGCGAAGCTGCCAAAGCCCCGGATGTATCCCATGTCACCTAAGGAGTTGGTGGAACTAAGGAAGTATATTGATACTAACCTGGAACGGGGGTTTATAGAGCCGGCCCGATCGAGAATAGCGGCCCCAGTGATATTCCAAGGGAAAAAGGATGGTGGGTTGCGGTTGTGTGTGGATTTCAGGGGGTTAAATGCGGTGAGCACCGAAAATATGTATCCATTACCCTTGTTAAAGGACATGCTATCTCATTTATCCCAAGGGAGGGTGTTTACTAAGCTTGACTTACGGGAGGCTTATTATCGCATCCGAATAAAGCCGGGGGATGAGTGGAAGACCGCATTCAACTGCCCTTTAGGCAGTTTCCAGTTTACTGTTATGCCATTTGGCCTTAAAGGAGCGCCTGCAGTATTCATGCAGACCATTAACGCGGTATTACATGATCATCTATATCGCGGGGTATTGGTTTATCTGGATGACATTTTAATATATTCTAAAACTATGACAGAACACATACGGTTAGTCAGGGAAGTATTACGCAAACTCCTTAAAGCTCAGTTGTTTGTGAAGCTTTCGAAATGCGAATTCCATAAAACCTGTATTGAATATTTGGGATACAAAATATCAGCTTCGGGTATCGAAATGGATCCAGAAAAGGTGAGGACGGTACTCGAATGGCAGGCCCCTCGGACGAGACGGCAATTGCAGAGCTTCCTGGGGTTCGCAAATTTCTATAGGCAGTTCATCCCTAATTTTGCACGGGTGGCTTTGCCTCTCACAGAATTGTTGAAAACGAGGAACTCCCCAGTTAAGGTACGCTCTAGTCAACCACTAGCGTGGTCCAAGGAAAGTCAAGCTGCTTTTGAATATTTAAAGACATTGTTTGCTCAAGAGCCCATTTTATTACATCCAAATCCCGATAAGCAGTATATTGTCCAAGCTGATGCGAGTGATGTGGCAGTGGGTGCAGTCTTGTTACAACGAAATGATAAGGAAAACTTACAACCATGCGCTTACACCTCGCGCAAACTGACAGAAGCTGAAAGGAGATGGGCTATATGGGAGAAGGAGGCCTTCGCTATTAAATGGGCCCTAGTAACATGGAGGCATCTTCTAGAAGGCGCGACACATGAAATAGAGATATGGACGGACCATAAAAACTTAGCTATATTGCAATCCCCCCGACGCTTAGCACCAAAGCATGTGAGGTGGGCACAATACTTTCAACGGTTCACCTTCCGACTTAAATATGTTCCTGGGGGACGTAATTTCTTGGCAGATGCCTTGTCCAGGTTACCTCAGTACGAGAGCCAACGAGAGGAAGTAGTACAGGCTATTTTGCCACCATATACCCAGGGGGTGAGTAGGCTAAGAGTCCGTTCCAATTTCGATAATTTTGAGGTGGAACTGAGGAAGGTGTTGTCCCAGGATTCGTGGTTCCAAACCCATTGTTCGCTGTTCACTCAGAGGGACGGGTTGGCATGGTTTGGTAGGAAGCTATATGTTCCCCTTGTTTTAAGGGCCAAGGTTCTTCAGAGGTGCCATGATGCACAATTAGCGGGGCATTTTGGGTTCGTCAAGACCTTACATTTAATTAGGCGCCAATTTTGGTGGCCTACATTAAGAAAAGATGTGGCACATTATATAAAGGCATGTTCTGTATGTGCTGCTTGTAAAAATCAGCCAGGAAAGCCGGTGGGATATCTACAGCCAGTGGCCAACCCTGAGCATCCATGGCAAGATATTGCCATGGATTTTATTGTAGAATTACCAAGCAGTAGAGGATATACTGTCATTTGGACAGTAATCGACCTGTTTTCAAAACAGGCACATTTCATTCCGTGTAAACGATTACCAACGGCTAAACGATTGGCATACATGTTTTTGACACATATATATCGGATCCATGGAGCCCCTCGGCGCATAATATCGGATCGGGGGGTTCAGTTTACCGCGAGATTTTGGAGGGGTTTTACGGCGCTTCTGGGGACGTCACAGGGGCTCAGCACCGCATACCATCCCGCCACGAACGGAGCTGCTGAACGGGCAAACGCAGCCGTTGAGAGATTTTTACGGAGTTACGTTTCCTATCAACAGGCTAACTGGGCTGATCTTTTGGTATTTGCGGAAGTGGCGTATAATAATGCGGTGCATACCAGTACTGGATTTGCCCCTTTTAAGGTAGTCTCGGGAAAGGATTTTGTACCTATACCTGAATGTATGGATTTACAGACACAGTCTTACCTTCCCCAAGAGTGGGTTCAATGGGTGTCAGGAGCATGGGCGGCAGTAAGAACAGCGTTAGCAGAATATGGAAGAAGGATGCGGAAGCAGGCGGACAAGAGAAGGCAACCCTGTAAACCATTTCGGATAGGTCAACTAGTATATCTGTCCACCAAGTATCTGAAATTGAAGGTCCCTTGCAAAAAATTGGCGCCCAAATATATTGGTCCGTTTAAAATTGTGAAGATCATTAACCCGGTAACTGTGCAATTGCACTTACCCAGATTACTGGGCAAAGTGCACCCAGTATTCCATTGTAGCTTAATCAAACCGGTCTATATGTACCAAAAGAAATCTGAACCAGGTCCCGTCAGTAATAATTTTTATGAGGTACAAGAAATACTCGATTCCCGGGTACAAAGAGGGGAATTGTATTATCTGGTCAAATGGAAAGGCTATCCGTTGACGGATGCTACATGGGTACGGGTGGACGAAGTACGAGCCCCCCGCCTAGTGAAACGATTCCACCAGAATAACCCTGGGAAACCGAAATTGACCGGGCCAGGGGGGAGTGGATAAACGAAGTCATGGAAACGATGTAACCCTACTTTTCTTTCCCAGGGGGAGCCCTGGTAGAAGGGGGCAGTATGTCGGGCCGCCTACCCTGAATGCAGCAGCAGACATCCGCCCGGAACAACTTATAGCCGGCCCGCCATGTAAACGGACAGCCGAGCGCGCCGGGGAAGCCAACAATCTGTCTTACGGAGTGACAGCCGGCCGGTGGGTGCACATGCGCAGACGCCAGGGACTGTTGGAGATCAACGGGGCATGCGCGGCTGGAGGAGACCGCGGACGCATTACCAGACATTGTTAGGAACTACTGAAGAGTCGCGAATCGTCGGGAAACGGCTGGGGCGTCGGGAAGCGGCCGGGGCGTCGGGAAACGTTTAGGTCAGGATGACGAAGCAACATTTGGGACGTTGGGTGTATGGGCGGTGATAGGGGGTGTGGTTTAGGCGCGGTTTCAGTAATTGTATAAAAAGGGAATGGGTGTATACATCGTCAGTGCTGACTTTATTCCGTTTGTTCGTGCATAATAAACTGGGTGTTCTCCGTTCCTGGCGAGGTGCTTCTTTTATTGGAGTGGGTGCCAAAGACGGGGTGACACAGGACACAACAGAAACAGTGAACATATCCAGTCCTTCCTCCTCCTATTTTCCCCACAACAACCCTGTGAGGTGGATTGGGCTAAAAGAGGGTAAATGGTCCCAAATCACCTAGCAGGCTTTCACGTCTAAGGTGGATCTAGAATTCACAGTCTCCTGGTTTCTAGGTCAGCATCTTAACTACTGCACCAAACTGCCTGTCCATTTAGAAATGTATTACATAATATTATATATTAATGTTAATAATATAACCTATAATTTATACATTTGGGTCTTTGTAATAACAAAAAGTAAATGTTAACACATGATAAAATAGAGGTAATGTGGACAGAGAAGTGATGCGTTTAAAATCATCTTAACATTAATATGACATTTGATGCTATGAATAAGCATCTGAATAAGTTTTCTATTTTGGGGTGCTTTGCAGAGCAGGTTAGTTTTAACAGACTGATAATTTTTGATAATTAGTCTTACAAAATATTTACTTTTGAGCTACTTGGTAGCAATGGTTAATTTAAAAAAAAGTTGCAGGAAGGTATACTTCCTACACATTTATGCAAGTATGAGCCGTATGGCTAACTCGCAATTACAAGCATGAAATCTGTGCAAGAGAATAAGATCCAAAGTACTCAAAGTATATTTATTTTGCACTTCCTCAGTAAGCAAGACTTTCTCTTCTAAATCCACATGAGGCACAGGTTGAAACATACAAGTGAATTCAGCCCAAGTTTGCAGATTTTGGCTAATAAAGCTAGAAATGTTTCTCTGTCAAAGAAGAATACTTCTGTTTGATTAGCTTCCTAAAATGATTCCAATAATATGAATAAACCCTCCCTCCTCAAATAAATGGAATTTTCTGCTGTTCAGATGTTTTTACTATTCTCCAGATGCTTCAACTATTTTCAGTTCCTTGCATTAGGCTCATTCCATTGACTTTCTTAAATAAATACTGGTATGATTGTTTTTACCACCAATTTATATTAAAGGATGGATTTCAGATGCATATTTGAAGGCAAAACCACAAAGATGTCACACTTATTTCCAAAGTTGGGTCAAAGGTGCTTTTTCAAAAGGCAATTGGACTTTCTTTATTTTTCCGTGAAGATGTTTTGCTTCTCATCCAGTTCTTGGATGAGAAGCAAAACATCTTCAGGGAAAAACAAAGAAAGTCCAATTGTCTTTTGAAAAAGCATCTTTAGGACAACCATGACCTGGATGACTGAGAATCTCCATAGATATTCCAAAGTTGGGAGCAATATTTTCATTTATTTCCAACAATTTTCCATTTCGAATTTAAAAAAATGATAGTTTATTATTAAAGAGCTCCATGGATGCACCAACCATCCTTTGCATGCAGAATTAGAATAGATTGCTTTTATTCAAATATTGAAATGACTTCATCTGCTGTTTAGACATTCAATAACGTAAGACTTTATTCAAGCTGATAGAAATTATTTTTCTTACTTTTGAAATCTAGCTTTTCTAAAAGACTAATGATTCGTCAAAATTAAATGTTAAGCTATACTGGAGAGAAGATAATTAAACCAATGCATTTGTCATCATCAAACAAAATTTTAAATGAGCAGAGATTAGAAAATATACAGGTACATTGGTTAATCTAATGGGGGTGAAAAGGTAGGCAGCTTTCCCAGATACAAGTTATTATCAAAGCTATTATGTTCTGTGTCTTAATAATTTTCTTGTCTAGAGGGATATGATTTGTGAAATAATGGAGGAAGGGAAGATTTTAGAGAATGTGATGGAACATGACATTCTTTATATAAATTCATATTTTACCTGTTGGTTAAAGCACTAAACACTAACATAGATGTAAATTAGCACAATCCTGAAAGTAGTGTTATGAGTTTTCTGTAAATGTTATAGAAATCACATGGAATAACCCCAAACCTGACAAAAGAAATTTTCATATAGCAATTATTCTGCACACATACACACAACACTTGAGATTATCCTTATCACAGTATCCTCAGAATGAATAGACTGCTGGGTGGTTCTTCCAATGAGCTGATATAGGAGCAGAAAACTGAATCGGTTTTCACCCTTAATTCATTCAATATGATTTTAAACAATAGGACTGTTATTGTTTCTGCTCAATTTAAGAGTTCTGTGAGGAGATAGGGGGTCTGTAGTGGCTGTATTGCCATAGGGAACTGCAAGAGAGTCAAGAAGCTGGAGGTGAGATGACACAGGAATCCATGCAGTTGGAAACCGCCTTACCCAAATCCTTTAACATTCATATCCAGCACGGCCTCTATACTTCATGTATTTATAATGTCAAAGTTAGACTTCCTTCCTTCCTTCCTTCCTTCCTTCCTTCCTTCCTTCCTTCCTTCCTTCCTTCCTTCCTTCCTTCCTTCCTTCCTTTGTTCACCATTATTTGCAAGATTGACTCTAGGTATTTATACTTTGAACAAATACAGTAGTCTCAATTTACGACCACAAATGAGCCCAAAATTTCTGTTGCTAAGCAAAATATTTGTTAATTGAATTTTGCCCCATTTTACAACCTTCCTTGTCATAGTTGTTAAGTGAATCACTGAAGTTGTTAAGCTAGTAACATGGTTGTTAAGTGAATCTAGCTTCCTCATTGACTTTGCTTGTCAGAACATCACAGAAGTGGATCACATGATCCTGGGACACAGCAATTGTCATAAATATGAGTCAGTTGCCAAATTTCTGAATTTTGATCACATGACCAGGGTACAGGGAAGGGATTGAGGGTATGTGGTGCATTCTTACTACACTGTGGAAAGAGCTCAGAAGGGAGAGAGGAAGAAGGGCTGACTAGCTAGCTCAGGGGTCTACAAACTTAGCAACTTTAAGACCTGTGGACTTCAACTCCCAGAATTCCTCAACCAGCCATAATGGCTAAGGAATTCTGGTAGTTGAAGTCTACAAATCTTAAAAGTGCCAAGTTTGAAGACCCCTGAGCTAGCTGGTTATGGTGCATATTAATAAATATGGATAAATTCATCATACATTTGTCAATGCAAAGGGAAAGTGATTCAACAAAGGAACAGCCACCAAAGAAATTAAAATGTACTTTTTTCCTTTTTTCCTACAGTTTGTAATATTTTATTAGATTATAGAATAAAATACAAAACTACAAAAGCAAATAGTAGGACAGTGATGGTGAACCTTTTAGAGACTGAGAGCCCAAAAACTGGCCCTGTCCCTGCTCCTGCTCCGCCCCCACCTTGTCCCCCATTCCACCTGCCTGCAGGGCCACTCACCGCCTTCAGGGCCCGCCGCAGATCGCCCAGGCAGCCCAGCAGCGCCATGGTTGCCTCGCCCTCTGCCCGTGCCCCACAGCATCAACTGTGCGTGATGGGGCATGAGGGCAGAGTCTTGTCTACACTGCCTGGCTGCCATGTCCTTGGCTGCGCTGTTCTGTGTGGGCCACACTCGGGGGCGACTCTCCTCCAGGGTGGCTGCTGGTGAGGAGAGAATTGTGGGGGTAGGCGAGGCTGGGGCAACGGCACATGTGCCCACAGAGACAGCTCCAAGTGCCGCCTCTGGCACACGTGTCATAGGTTCGCTACCACTGTAGTAGGACATAGTGGGGAGGAAAAAAGGGGAAAAAGTGAGGGGGACAAGAGAAAAAGAACAGATTTCTTCTATTGCAGTAGAAGGAACAATTAACATTGAACCTCAACTTTTTACTTTACCATAATATTATAAAATAACCATTTTTATAACAACAAATGAATCTAATCAGTAAAACCCAAAATCAACCCCCCCCTTTTTTAGTTATCACATTTTTGACACTGGTGGTGCTCGACCTAAAAGTGGTACAATCTGTGAAAAGGTTGAAAAGCCCTGTCTTAGAAGATACCAACAGATCCTTACAGAAGGGCAGAATAGTCAGAGACCTCCTTGAGGAGAAATAGTGTTCCTTAGGGCAGGCAGTGCCACAGCTAAGGCATGCTCCTTTGGTGACATTGTTTTGTGGAAGGAACCTGAAGCATGCCCACTCTGTTGGATTTCAAAGGACAAGCAAAGAAAATTGGAGACAGGAAGTGTCTCAAATAACCTGGGCTTCTGCCTTAAATGGCTTTATAGATGTTAACCAGCACTTTGAATGTGCTTCACGTAGTTTACTGTTGCAGAATGCAGTGATAGGGCAAACCGAGCTAAAGGATATTTGCTGGTTTGGAAATAATTTTCAGGTATTAGCTTACAAATAATGAATGGATGGGTGTAGAGCAAGCATGTCAAACTCGCGACGTCATGTGACGTCGCGCAATGTATCAGGCTGGTTTTGCCATTGGCGGCAATGGGATGGGCATGGCTTCCACGTGACCCATCCGGCCCGTGGACCGGCAATTTGATACCCCGGTGTAGAGTAAGGTGCTTTGGAGGAGAAAGTTTATAACAGTCTTTTAAACAACCAAAATCAATGGAAGAAATGGATAAGATGAAAAGGTCAGCTTGGGGCAAAAGGGAGGTGGAGATCAAGGACCCTTTGCCCTCCTTTTCTTATCACCATTCTATCTCAGGTATGTTTATTTTTCTAGCTGTTTCCCTGTGAGGTCACGACTGAAGTCTGAACATGGACCTTTTATGTACAGTGCAGCAGAGGCCTTGTTATTACGATCTTGAGAATTATAGTCAATAGAAGGAGACGGAAATTAGAACTGCTAATAGATTCAGTATGTGAACTGCCAGTATAAGAGTGCTTTAAATTTGATAAAAAACAGTATTTTAGTTTGCATGAATGATTGTTACTGACAGAGTTTGCAAAAAGTACTTTAGAATATTACTTTATTATGATGTTTGTTTTTCCTCTTTCTCTTGGATGGTAAAGATCAAGTCCATTAGGGAAAATAAGAAAAATAAACCAATATTTGTTGAGTCTTATAAATACTGGAAAGGAGCACACATATATGAAATATATACTACAATAACATTAAATCTTTTAGAGTTACTC